GCCGATCTAGCTCTAAGACACAATATAAAACAACAAAAATACCAAAAACATTTAAAAAATTTAAAATCCCGTCACATTGTGGTTTTTTACAAACTTTTCCACAAATTTTTCCGAAACGAGTCAACAAAACAAACTTATCAAAAAAAATTTTTACAAATGCTGTATAGTCAGAGGACTGAATCTCATAAATAATATTTTGTATATATTGTATATAAAAACGAATATTCAAAAATAAAAATTACATTACATTACATTACATTACAAAACTTAATACTTGGAGCAAGTATAATAACGGATATATAGCCGATCTTAAACAATTCGAACGCGAGGAATCCAATGGTGCCAACTATTTTGTCCGATCAATTCAAAGTTCTGAGATAAACGGCTTCGAACCTACCCCTAGGAATGACATTTTGAAGTTACCATTTTTTTCATTCGATCGTCATGAAAATTGGTATTCGGGGGTTTTTGGGTACGAGAAAACCGAATTTGACATTTATTTTGACATAAAATCATATTTGGCAAGTCTTTGAATTCAATCAATCACAGATAAAAATGACAATTTTGTATGAAAATGAATTGTTTTTAGCAACCATTGGATTCAAAGACTTGCCATTTCAAAACTAGTGAATATTTTTTTCTAAATATTCACTATTTTGTTCTTCATTAGATATTGAAACAATATGCCGAAAATCATTGATTTCTGAGAATAAAAAGTATTATTTCTGAAACCTCAAAAAATTGTATTTTACGCCATTTTGTATGAAAAATACATAGGTGGTCTCAAACTTTTGCACGGCACTGTATGTATAATTGTGTATTGAATTAATCGAAATAATCAACAAACATGACACCATCAGCTTATATGTGACTTTTTACAAAATGACTTATCGCCAGAACAATGATAGTAATGATAAATATGATAGTAAAAATTTATGCCAGAATGCGTTTGCGAATTCATTTTCACTTTTCCTGATCACAAAATGTTCCCATTCCCTTCTACCATTTGGTTGGGTCATCAATTTGGTCAGCTAAAGGCATTTGCATATGTTCATGAGATTGACGACATGCGTACATACGTTACACTGAATTTGGATGCTGAACGATTTGTGAGCATCACTGAAACGGCTAATGAACAGTATTAAATGGAAAAATCCTGAATTTTTTGGTCATCGACTTTGAACCCCTTCACACAAAATCATGCTCAAAGCACAATCTCAGCGCCATCCAAACACGCAAACCATACGAATGTTAATGATGGAAGTGAGAGCGGAAAGAAAAACGCATACTCATATCAACGCGAAAGATTTAATGGGCATGTCAAAGAGGGACGTATTTGTAAAAAACAATCGGAGTGGTAGCCGAAATGATTTATCTTCCTCTTTGAGTGTCACAATCTGTAGCTGTAATTTGATTAATGAAGGGTTTTCTATTATAAATTGTATCGACCGCTCTTCGGTGTACGTGTACATGTTTTATATATGAAAACATTTTTCCCACTTTTTTATTCGTGACGGATCTCCTTAATTTTTTTTTTGTTTTTGGCTCATTCGAAATGAAATACGGTCGTTTTGGCGAATTTTGAATGGTTTTCAACAAAATGTTTTGCTGCTATGTAAACAATAACACAACGGATAAATCACGATACAGAATGAGGGGACAAGAACTAGATGACTGAAGTGGTTGACTGAATGAAACATACACTAAATTAGCAGCTAATTTAATCATATTCAAAGCAACAAAATAGATACACTAATACATGAGAATGAAGTCGATATGATATGATGTTGAAATATTTATTTTTGATTGTGTGTGTTTGTGTCGATTGTTGATTGGATTGTGAGGCCGAAAGTCAATTTAACCATCGCCCCAAAAAAGTGGATGCGACCAAATTCGTAATTGCAATTTGACCATAGTAATCAAGTAGGTTTCTCTTTACTCTGCTCTGCCAACTATGTTCGTCTGATATTGGATTAATTTTGATTTGATGCCATGAAATATGTGCTTCACTTTATAATATTCATATCGATGTTTGCAAATGCTAGATTTTATACTTCTCTTATATTTTGTTCGTCCGTTCGTTCCGCAAACATTTTATACGCATATTAATCATAAGCTGCGATGATTATCTCTTGTATGAAACATTTTTCGGGCGGTCAAACACAAGAATCAAAGATACGCTTTCCATTTTACTCGGTTTACCCATCAAAATGCTACATACATTTCAATAGGTCTCTCTTTCGTTCGAAAAAACACAAAAAACCAACACTGATCATATCTGAATTGAATACATATATTTTTGGACTGGTGCGCTTATTATTTGGCATTTTCACGATAAATAAATATAATTTGTGCTGCCGAATTATCCAGTGTATTTTTTTTTTGGTTAATCAGTTGTTTTCCTGAACAGAGCACATAATTTTCAAAACTGCAGAGAGAAAACAGCGCTCTTTGATATAAAAAAAGGTAACCGCATTTTGAATTTACATAAATTATTATTCTTTTGCAAGGCGTTGTGTTGTGTCTTGCTTAAAAAAACCACTTAAAAATCATTTTTATTCTGTTCCCGCGAATTAATATTCATATTTGAGAAAATGATGTCCATTATACAAATTAACTGACAAAAAACAACATTGAAATGCAAAAAGTGAACGAATGGCAAAGAGATGATTTGACCAAAATTTAAAATACAAATGTACTGAAAAAAGGCACAAAATGGACATAATGTATTTCTACACATACATATCCCATGTGTGCTTCTTGTAACCGCAACATCAATGAGAGTATGCGTGTTAAATACATATTTTATACATTGTTGTTCGTGAGTGAGCTTGGATTGATGCCTGTGTTACCGTGTACGCCGTGTACCTCGAATAAAATGTTAATCGAACACACACAGAATTTTTATTCAGCCCTGGATACGTGTTAATTTTTTTCTCTCCTTTTTGCCATAATTTTATATGCTAATTGTTACAGCTATAACTCGAGATGTGTGTGCATGTGTGATCCAAAAGAGACAATATATACAATGAGAGAGAGAGAGAGAGAGAGAGAGAGAGAGAGAGATGGTGTCGATAAATACATTTTTAATGCTTCGAAAAGCTTTATGCATGTTGTAAATACAATAAATTTTGTGTAATTTAAATTTTTCTAGATGGTAGAACATATCAGATATCTTTTTCTTTCTCTCTCTACTGTCTACTCTCGGTCCGAATATTTGTCTCTGGTATCTCTTTTCTGAATTATAAATGAGTGCTTTAATAATCGCATTCAAATGTCTTTGGGCGAATTTTTTCCCACCCCAATACGCCACGCGAGAGGAAGAGAGAAAGAATATAAATAGCATACATATAAAATGGTCTTATTAAAGGATAACGTTTTGCTTAAATATTCCGTTGTTGGCCTTTGTGTCATAAAATTTTATTCGCATCAAGAATCACTCCTTTTTTCTTTTCTTTCTCTGTTGTCATTAATTGACCAAAATTATCAATTTAAATACGTTTTGATAGTCTGAATTTAACAAAAGGCGATTACAAACCGCAGCACTGTTTTGTCAATGGAGTACCCACAATCGATGACAGGAATCAACCGCGAGTGAGAAATTCATGTCTTATGTAAGTTGAATCGTGCAACACATCCCCTCAAACACTTTGGCTACATTTCCATATTCGATACATGTATTTACGAACAGAAAAAAAACAAATGATTTTTTCATTGTTCGCTAGCTGTTTTTTTCGTTTGCAAAAGAAAATCTTCCAATTTTTCGGTTGGTTCATTCGTTCCGGTGTTAAGAGTTGTATTGAGCTCAAACGTGGAATGATGATGGTTGTTTTGCGTATTCCATTTCATCGATGTGGGGTGTTGAAGTCAAAAGCCACGATGTATTTTCCTGGCGGCAAATGACAAATTATTCTTATTAGAAAAAAGTGACTTTTTTTTCTATGCTACCAAATTGATCCGTGCCACTTGAACAGAACTCAAGCATAAGAGCACATTCGTTCCACATTTGAAATGACTTCCAACACATTTGATTCCCTTTGCTCAAATCATTTTCATCGATGTGAATTTGAATAATATCGCGCCTGACTCAATTTAAACATTTTCTTTCCGTTTTTTATCATTTTTATTTCTCTTCAGTTACAACAAAAAACCGCGACGCATTGTCATCAATGTAAGGATGCTAATTTTTGTCGATGTACAGACGCCGAATTGTTATATTTACATAAAGACCCATTAAAAATCAAATTGGTATAACATTTTCTATCATTTTTTTATTCCTGCTCTGAATATTTTTTTCTCTCAGCCGTTGAGGAATAAAACGTGCCATGAAATTTAATAATGGTAATAAATGCACACAATGTCACTCGGTTGGGCGATAAGTAAAGCAAACAGACGAATTATATTCAGAAGGTGAATTCACATTTATTCTTGGAACGTTTGAGAATTAAAGTATTTGCCGCCGAAATAATATCAAGAAAAACAAAAAAAAAACTTGTTTTCGAATCGGCTCATGAAAGATCTCGAATTAGTTGAGAAAACAAATTTCAACACAATTGTTTTTTTTTTGAAATACCGCGTTCAATTTGTTAAACGAATTAGGACAAAATGAGAATATTCAACAAACTTGTAATGTACAAAATTCGTCATGGACAATTATCAGCGTGATAAGAATAGTCGTATTTTAAATCAAGTCGAGTTCAGTACACATTACTGTGTGGAATGCACGCCTTCGATTATATTTATTTACAAACACTCGTGATTTTCGGTTCAAAAGTTCAAAACAACTTATATTATTTTCAACGAGAGTGAAAAAAAACGTGTCGCTATCAGTAGTAACTAGTAAGTAACTATTGTGAACTGCTCGGCGGTCGAATGCATTTTTCAGAAGAGAGAAATATAACGTCATCAAACGACGTAAATATACCCAATCGATAACAGATAACATGCATATCGTGCTTGTATAGTGCACATATTGCTTTAGAAACGATAGTCAGTCGTCTCGAACGTTCAAACGTAATTCGTTCGTTGAACCGAGTGAAAGTGATTTCAGTATATGGATTTTATAATGAGCAAATTGTGAGTGTTCTTTGTTACTTTTGGAAATTAAGAGTAGAATTTTTTACGGAAGAAAATGTGAATTCAAAGATTTTCTCATGTTTTTTCAGAATATTTTTCGTTGCAATTTTATACTGGGCAAGTTACTATGCATACGCGAGGCAAATATCGGTAACTTGTAGTTGGGGTGAACCAACTACAACTAGAATCGATCCATTTGCCTGTTTCATCCGCATTCCATTCAAGTTAACGCCCAATGATACGCTGACGTTTAACAGTGAAATTGACCCATCCGAACTAACTATTATTAACTTCTGGCTACCGTCCGCTTCACGTTATCAGTGGGATATAACATTCATTCCAAAAGGAATATTCGAAAGATTTTCACATCTAAAAAGTTTCACACTACCAGGTCACGTGGAGAGTATATCTCATGATGATTTTATGCATGCAGTCAATCTTGAGCGCTTATCATTTGGCAATCAATTGAAAGTGATACCCGGAAATGTCTTTGATCGAGTCGCCAAATTGGAAGTACTTGATTTATCGTGGAATAAAATCGCATCGATTCATGAAAACAGTTTCAAAGGATTGAGTAATTTGCGAACGCTAAAGTTGCACCGAAATCAATTGCAAAAATTTAAATTACGTACTTTCGAAAATGTGCCTCTGTTAGAAGAGTTGCTATTGAATAATAATCATATTGAAACCGTTGAGGATGGTATCTTAAAATTACCAAAATTGAAACATCTGGATTTATCCTACAACAAACTCACCGAATTGTCGAATTTAATTTTCAAAGACTGTCGTAAACTGGAATATTTAGATTTGCGATCCAATCATATCACATCAATCAAACGTTCAGTTTACAATTTAAACAGTTTGCAACTTTTAAATTTGGACAACAATCGAATTTCTGATATTTACCTGCGAGCTATTGTTCGATTACCCTCACTCGAATATATATCGATGGAAAATAATGGAGCCTCACTTAACGATAACATTTTTGTGAGTGAATCAATGTCCGGCAGCTCGAAATCAGCGATAAAGAGCCTTCTGTTGTCGGGAAATAATTTGAAAAATCGTGAATTACTAGTCCGGCTCTGGTCGCTTGGGCTAACGCATTTAGAAAAATTACATATTGATAATAATTCCTTTGAATACATCGACTTTTATCCAATTTATGCGTTTCCCAAATTGAAAGAGATCAACCTGGGCAAAAACTATTGGAAATGTGAATGGTTAGAAGAAACATTGAAAAAACTCGAAGCAGATGGTATCGAATTGAATTTGTTTAGTAGCCGTTTTCCCAGCTCAACATCGTTTAAGCATATTAATTTCATTCCGTGCATTTGAACCGGAAATTGTTGCAAGGAAAATATAATTTGACACCATTTCTTTTTGTATTAAGTACATTTTTTCTATGTAAGAAATTAAAAGGACATAATAATAAAAATAATAAGAATTAAATTGGTGTTTGAATTTTTATTTGAGCAATTTAAAATATTATAATTCGAAGCTATTGTATATATATATATGGCTCGCATTGTATCGAAAGATTTCATCGCTTGAAAAACGGAAATCGCCATTCAACTGGGAAAAATGGAATTTAAGTCTGCCTGAATGATGTAGACGAAATTGATTGCTTCTACTATTTTACCGAATGAAACTGTATTTCCCGTCTTCGTAGAAAATGTTGAATAAACATGCAATCCCTAATAAAAAAAAAGCATAACTAATTGTAGCAAATGAGTGTATGTTGTGTATGTGTACTTTCATATGGTGGTATAATTGTTGAAACTAAGAAATGTTAGACTGGAATAAAAGCCAATAAATCAAATGAACATAGAGCCGAAGCAGTCTGCGACCGTATCACACGTAAAAATTGTCCGTGCAATCGAAATGTTATTAGAATAAATTGACCATAATATTTTATTTTTCCCCAATCGCATTCGTTCTTCGTTTGCTTATTTTGCAACTAAATCATTTTACCCAAAATCGTAAGTCCATTTCAGCTTTTATGATATCTATATTAGAAATGAAATTTGACGGAACGAGGTATAAAACACTTGATTGCACGCAAACAAGTATTCGAGTACGCTTACTCGCACTTGCGGTGTTAGTAGAAACTTTACCCCTCAAAATGAGTTACGCACTCTATTTAACTCTATTTTTGGTGTTAGTTCCATCGAAGTAAACGCATCACAGTGAAAAAAGAGATACATGTGTAGTACATCTGTACGTTGGCGCATGCGTTCAACGAGTTATGTTTCGTTGCGTGCATATGAGTCTGTGTATACGCTAACGAATTTGATTGCTAAGCGTGACTCATTTTGAGGGGTAAGGTCTCTACTAACACCGTAAGTGCGAGTAAGCGTACTCGAATACTTGTTTCTGTGCGGAAACTAGTTGCTTGTCAATTCCTTGTGTTATTTGAGTGAGAAAATCTGCTGGATAATTGGAACGATTTCCGAATGAATTGAGATATCAAAAGGGTCGACCGCACAAATTCTTTCTTCTTGGCCGTCATATCTTGGCTATCTGTTTTCCCTTGTAATCCCATATACCATTTGCAAAAAGTGATAAAGTGACCACAAATGCATATAAAAACACCAATAAATCTCTTGCTTTTTCCGTAGTTTGGCCACTTTGTCGAAGACACAATTTTTTCAAAGTGGTAAAAGAAAACATTTGAATATGAAGCGAGCGAAAATGTGTGATATTTCAAGAGAGAGATATATGGGCAGAGAAAAAAAGGAACGGAAAAATCGGAAGCCAAAAATCGATAGCAAATATTTTTCTTTTGTTTGCAAAACAGAGCCAATTTCAAGAGTGCTAAAGAGGAATGAAGTGTATGAATGTGATATCGGTTCGATAATCTTTAATTCTAAACAAACATCTCAAGAATTTTTAAGCGGATGCCTTTTTTGATCCACTTCGAATACTATTTATGATTCACAGTGTATACAATTTTCTCGAATTGGATGGAATTTGTTTTCATTTGATTATATTCAAATTTGTAATAAAAATACTCGAAGCCAGACACACGTCTTGCCATTTTTGAATACGGATGCAAATGGCAATAACAAACGAACCCTAGACAATGCCACCGATGCGAATTATTATTGTTATTTAAACATTATGATTGAATGCCACGGCACGAATTCAATTGTATCATTAGGCAACGTTTGAGAAGGGACTCTACACTCTCAAGGTACACAAAGGGAATGTAAGTTGAGACTAAATTGAAATTGTGTGCGAGAATTGGGATTGTGTGCGAACAACTCCGTCGAAAGACATAAGATTTTTTTTTGCAATCGCTACTCTTCATTCGAGGATTTTTCAATTTTTTAACCTATTCCATGGAAGCCTTCTGCTGCTTACAAGTTGAATTTACATCACGAAATAACAATTTTTCGCTGGTTTTGGTTTCATTTCGTTTGTTGTCCCCTGTCGGATAAATTGCTATCTAATACTCAGCATTTGATTTTTACGCAGATCCAATTCGAATGGATGGTGACACACACACTTTCTGTTTGTCAAATAGAATGAAATGATACGGCGATATGGAATAATGCACGTGAAATCTCTCTATGTATTTAACATGAGGCTCGTTGTGATTAGATGTGGTCGCAGATTAATTCTTAATTCAGTGCAATTTCATATGATCGCCGGAAAAAGGTTGAAGGGATATTATAAAATATATTTTTTGTGCGTCCTGAAGAGAGGGACACAGAGAGAGAAGTGTGATGAGCGATGACAGACAAGGATTGATTAGTTCGTTTTATATTTTCTTTAGCATATTTCAATTCGGTTTTAAGCCTCTAATTACAATATTCACACTGAATACACACACACATAACGATATTGTGCCTCATGTCATGTCATGGGTTTTTGTTTGCAATCTCTCTCTCTCTCTTTCTCGCCCATTTTTGTTCGCTTGCACATATTTATTGATGATGACGCGAGTGCGTAATTTTAAACGTAACATTTTTTAAGTCATCAGATGTTATTATTTTATTATGGCAAAAAAGGCGATAAGTCTCCGGGTACTTGGGTTGACGAGAAAGCGGAGAATTTTCAATTCATCGACAAAAATTGAAATGTAATATATGTGCACTAGAATAGAATTATCGCCTGTGCGCGCGAGTGGAATGTGAGTGTAGTTGTTTGTTATAAAAGCGACAGTACTATGTTCAATGATAATTTAATGTGTAATGTGTCGATGAACGAAGGAGACTGTAGCATAAATGAGCGCAGGCACAAATTATACATCGAATTCACACATACTCGAGGCACATAAAAGCAGATGCTAACATTACCGTTATTGATTTTTGCGCTACTGTCTCATCCTGCCTCGAATTGGCTTATTTCGTGCACCGCAAAAGTGCTGATTTTGTCTTGCATGGTGAAAAAACGAAAACAAAAAAAGCACGTAAAAGAAATGAAGTGAACGAGAGAAAGTGAGCGAGGTATACACGTTATCGTTGACAGGGTTTGTTGTCTTTTTTGTAATATTGCATCACATTCATTGGAAATAATTTAACATTACAATAACAATAAACGATGACAACACACATTTTTTCATTCTTCTTGTCGCACACACATATATGCCGACCCATCGATTGCATAAGTCATGTTTGAATATAAATTGGAAAATGCCAAAAACGACACAGAGACATATTCGGTGATAACAAAAGCCTGGCCACCATTCTGTCATCAATTCTAAGTAAAATATTCTCATTGAACACAAGTCAGCCGCTTTTCAGGCGCAGTCATTTTGTCATTTATTTTTATGTCTCTCTGTACATCAAAACCGACTTATTGTTTGTACGTTCTTTGAACCGAATTTGAAATCATCAAAAAGCAAATATTGAATTGGTCGACTTTTGGTTTTGGGCTGTATGAGGCTCACTACTATGAGCGCGTATGAGCAATGCTAAATATGAATTTCATGTTTTTGAATTGAATGAAATCACTTTAAAACGGTCGATTGTAAGTAATTCTTGAAATTAATATCATACTTGAATATATTCATGATTTCGTCATCAACGATGTTTTGGTGTGAACATATAACGGTGGTGGTCGTCGTCATTGAGCAATCCGAAATGTGCCGACTCACGATCTTTCAATATGTCTTTTTCTTATCTTGTATGTGTTTTGTATTGCAGAATTGGGGTAAATATTTGTGGTATCTTTCGATTCCCGAAGAAAACGAGAGGGTTTCAAATAATTCAAACGGACATAAAAATCCGACAAATCATTGTCAAAGATGAAATCAGAGTAAGAGATGCCACTGTATGTAGAAAAGACAAATAAAACGGGTTGGTTTGGGAACAGCTTTTTTGTACCATTTTCGCGGCCATGGAATGTTTTTGAATTCGAAAGTGTTAAAATGTTGAACGTCATCGTCACACCATCAAATTCATTGTTTGGCATTTCTAGCTATGCAAAAATCTCAACGATGTCCAACCGAGAGTTTGCATCGTCTATTAATTGTGCCTGTACGTTTTGAGCTAGAGAAAGGGAGAATAAATGCTGCCTATGTTTGAAATGCAATTTGAAAAAGAATCTCGGCGTTCACTTAATATATTACAATGCTGTTGCGAAGTGCATCATATTCATTGCGTCAAAAGTCATTTGTTATGTATGTTCGGCTTCAAATACTCACCAATCGGCCACGCAGCGGTGTTTTTGTTTGCGTGGAAAAATATGTTTTCATGGTTTAATCAATGTTATCAGTTGATTGGTTTGCTCTGCTTCAATATGCAATAATTATCCAAACAATGCAATGCAACTCACGCGTACATCAATTTGAACTCGGCGGCGAAATGAATGGACGCACGGTATTTGGAGTGTCGGTTCTTCTCTCTCTCTCTCTCTCTCTCTCTCTCTCTCTCTCTCTCTCTCTCTCTCTCTCTCTCTGTGTGTGTCTGTCTGTCTGTCTCCGATCTCTGAGCTAGGTGCAAATAAAAAAAACGCTCACACGAAGCCATACGCATTCTTATGCATTGGTTCCATGCACATCGCATGCACCGTGAGACCACTATATTCAATATATTTGATGTACACATTCACATAAAGTCCAAATACAAACCATATATTCACACATTGAACACCATTCAATTTCATGTTTTATCAATAAATCATCACAATATTAAATGTAAAAGCAATTGACTCGAGAGAGCGAATTGTGTATGTGTGTGTGTGTGTGCATTGTTGGTCTCTGAACTTCCAATGCACATTTTCTCTTTCGCATTCATTCTGTTGCTTTGTGTGATGACAATGGTAACAACAATAATCAATGGATTTTATCAATAGCATGGTACTGCGCGCTGGAGATGAGTGCAATGATGATCGAAATCGAACATGAAAATTGTCAAGTTTATTCAGTTGTTTGGGAATTTTCATTGGATCATGTTTTACTGTGTAGATAGATTGGATATGCATCGAATACACTTCACTCTCAT